CAACAACTCTACAGGACAGAAACGGAGCTGGGCTGCCCAGAGGTGCTAAGCCACAGGTGTGATATGCATGCAAGAGGTCAGCTAAGTTTCTAAACATTCATATTAAAGCGACCTTGTACTTTATACAGTATGACATTAACATGGGTTCAAAGGTAAAAATAAAACATTCAAGAGATTTCCAGCCTATGGGGCATTTGGAGTGATGCCCAAATAACCCCTCTGTTACTTCCTTTCTGAGGAGCTCTGGTGTTTCAATGGTTAAGTGCTTGGCTGCGAACCAGCAAGTCAGCGGTTTGAACCAAGCAGCTGCTCCATGAGAGAAAAGTATCATAGTCTGCTTCCATAAAGGTTTATAGCATGACATGCCTTGTGGGAGGGGTTTTGGTGTGGCATTCAGGTTAGTGCGCTCGACTGCAAGATCAGTTTGAACTGCAAGGTCAGCAGTTCAAGCTTACCAGCCGCTCCTTGAAAACCCTCTGCAGGATCGCTATGAATTGAAACTGACTTGATGGCACTTAACAACAACAGTGTCCTACGGGGGGTCCTGGTGTGGTGACATAGGATAAGCACTCGACCGCAAGGTCAGTTTGAACCACAAAGTCAATGGTTCATACTTACTGGCTGCTCCTCAGAAACTCTATCCAGGGCCACTATGAGTCAGAACCACCTTGACAGCACTTACAACGTCAACATACCCTACGGGCAGGTCTGCTCTGTCCTCTAGGGACACTATGACTGGCGATCACCAGGACACCTGGGTTACTCCCTGCCTGGGGGTGGTGTGCTGTTGGGGTGGGTTTCTTTCATGCCATTCCATCTTGCCCTCAGCACTTTACAGCCTGAGATTGCCAACCTGTTGTGGACTTTTAGTTTTGTTTTGTTTTAAGTTGAGGTGAAACTCATGTAACGTAAACTCATATAACATAAACTCAGTCAGTGGCTGCTTAGCTCCGACATTGTCATCTCCCCAAAAAGAAACACCTTGATTTTTACAGAGTGGGGAACTCAGACTGAGGAATTGAGGGATGGAGCAGGGATTCCAACCCAGACCTATCTCCTCCCCATGTTCCTGCAGGCCCGTCACCACTTCACAGCAGGGTGAGATGGGCCCTTGGCCCTTCCTGTGGTGGCCACAAAGTCCAGCTCGGAGCCCCGCATTAGAACAGGCAGGTGGAGGTCTCCTGGCGCTGACTGTGTTCAGGTCATTGGTTGCTGGTTTGGGAATTTACCAGGGTACTTATACAAGTTGTAGCCAGGATACGTGTGCTAAGAGGGCCACCTCCTTGGGAAGGAGCTCTTGTGCCCCTCCTGCCTTGTCCGAAAACCTTCTGCACCTTGTCTCGCCTCAGGCCTGGTGAGCTGCTCATTCTCCCCACATTCAACTAGTTGCCATTGAATGAAGTCTGGCTCATAGCAGCCCCCTGCGTGTCAGAGAAGAACTGTGCGCCATCGGATTTTCAAGGGCTTGTTTTTCTGGAGATGGATAGATCTGTCTTCTGTGGCACTTCTAGGTGTACCTGACCTTTTACTCTTTTGGTTAATAGTCAAATGTGGGAACCTTTTGTACTACCCAGGGTTGGAGGTTTGAGTCTATCCAGAGGCAACTCAGAAGAAAGGCTTGATGATCTGCTTCCGAAAAATCAGCCACTGAAAACCCAAGGAGCACAGTTCTCCTCTGGCCCATGTAGGTTGTCAGCAGTCTATGCTGACAGCAGCTGGCTTCTGCTTGTTCTTGTGTATGGTACCCATTTCACCTAGCTTCAATGGCTTGATGATCAGAACTCTACGAGAGGAAGATAAGTTTAAGGAAGCAAGTGTAAGTTAATACAATTTGATGAACTTGACCTATAACTTATAGATGTAGTAGCTCAAAATACCAACCGAGAGGGAAGGAGTCTTCATATCAAGGATCAAACCTATCCCCCGCTCTATACACAGGGTTGGTAAAGATGGGCAACTTAGACATTGGCTACCTAAAACAGGGGGGAGGGGGGGACCTCTAAAGGTGTGAAGTGGCTGGCTTATAAGTTTTCAAGAGGGAGTTTAGTTTTAGAGTGTGTGGG